CACCCAATATGCTGATCACTGCTGGGATCACCTTTACTGGCTTGTGCCAGAGTTTTCACAATTCTATCTCTAAATCCTCATATTGTGTGAGCTTTTCCAGTTACTTCTTGTCAATTCTGCTATCATCTGGGATTGCAACATTGACGATTTATAATTTGGTTTTTTCCCCATAATCGTGATGTCAGGAGTATTGTGCTTCAAAGCTCTTGTCTGTCTGAATTTGGAAGTCCCAGATTAGTTTGACATGTTCATTTTCTGTAACATTTTCAGGCTTGTGATCCCACCAGTTCTTTGTCACAGGCAGATGGTATTTGTATCACAAGTTCCAATGAATCATCTGAGTAATGGTATTATGCCTCAGCTTGTAGTCCGTCTACATGATCTTTTTGCAACAGCTGAATATGTAATCCATTGTTTTGTCTGCTTCCTTGCAGAGTCTACACTTGGAATCTGTTGTTGACTTTTCAATTCTGGCTTTGATGGCATTATTATCACAGTATGTCACAGCAAACGAGATATATATGCTAGATTTCGTATCACAAGATCACAAGTCGAACGCTTCCTAAGCATCTAGGACTGTGTGATGTATTTTCGAATGATGCGCGCAAATCCAAGTAAGGTAGCCTTTTGCAGTTGACAGCTTGTGATTTTTTCAATGTTTATTGTTTCCAAATGCTGGCTGAGGTCTTTTGGCATGGCTCCCAGTGCGCCAATGACCACTGGGACCACCTGTACTGGTTTATGCCAGAGCCTTTGCAGTTCGATTTTGAGGTCTTGATAACGGCTGAGTTTTTCCTGTTGTTTTTTCTCAATGCGACTGTCACCTTGTATGGCGACTTCAATAATCCAAACTTTTTTCTTTTCCACAATCATGATGTCTGGTGTATTGTGTTCCAAAACTTTGTCAGTCTGTATTTGAAAGTTGTTGTTGTTATTATTATTTTTAGGTAGATAGATACGTTTTATTGATTGGCCTATTGGCCGTATCAAAACATTTAACACATAACACAATTAACACATAGTCATACATAGTCATACATACAACATACAACCCTCGGTATAAAAGATGTTAAAATAAACAAGCTGTCAACAAGATCTCGTCACCTCCACAGCTTACCCCAATCGATTCCAAATGTGCAATTCTCAGCTGTGTTGCTTTGAATAGAAAAAGGGCTGTTTTGTGTGTTATTTTAGGGTTCTGGCCGGCCAACAAAAATGAGGTTTTAATATATGGGTCCCAGTGTGTTTTTTGAATAATGTATGGTCCAAGGCAATGGTCTCTCTCTTTCTTATACAGCTCACAGTTGAACAATACATGTGTGATATCCTCCACCTCTGGTGCTCCACAAATACAAAATCGTTCATTGTATGGGACTTGATTAAACCTTCCGTGCTTGTCCATTGTATCCAGCTGTTCAAAACGAGCTCTGGTAAATACCCTCCTAAGGTGTTTAGGCATTTCTGTTTTTAGATATCGAGCTGTTTGGAAGGTATGTTTAAAGCGGCCTAACCATTTCAGTGAGCCAGCTTTACTGAGGGTAGCGATGTCTTTTTGGCCTTCTATATCCAATACTCGTTGAGCAACTATTTTTGGGTCTAACTCTTCTAAGAGATTCGGATACTGAGTCGGAAGTCCACAGCTCCTAATGTATTTTGTCAGGAGAACTAGCCAGGAGGTCTGATGTTGATTTTCTATCTGCTCTAACAGGCACAGTTTTGGGAGTCTATCATTTTCCATGGCCATCAGTTTTGCCCAGTAGTTGTAGGCCCTTATTATTATTATTATTATTATTATTATTATTATTATTATTATTTACTTTAGTTATACCCCACATTTCTCTCTGAGGGGACTCAAGGTGGCTAATAGCCACACACTTTGATAAATTTAAAACAAAGCAAATACTAAAATAAAAAAAACAATTAAACCATACTCTTGTGTTGAGTTAAAAATACAGTTTAAATACAATAAATACAATTGAAATGCATTTTAAAACACATAATTTCCCCCCACTCATTACCAGGATTGCAGAAAAGGTGGAGGGGAATTTACAAACTATATTTATTAATACTTTCCTGTTGCCATGCTCTGTTGCATAAATCAAATGACTGCAGAACGCCTTGGGATGAAGTTGAAGAAGCAGACTGGTGGAATCGTAACAAAAAAATTAATGGGAACGTTTGGTTCCCACATTCTGTCGCAAGTAGGACTCATATAAAATCTGTTCAGAAAACACATTGATCCTCTGTCACAATAATTTATACAGACCCACAAAGTATATGCAAACGGGGGAAAATCAACATGCTATTATTACTTTTGGTTCAGTGTAGGATTCATAATAGAAGTGGTTAATTTTTTGACAATTTACAAAGGGACAGGGCCTTCTCAGCTGTAGCCCCCTGCCTGTGGAACTCGTTTCCCAATGAAGTAAGATTGGCTTCATCCCTCCTGTCTTTTAGGAAGAAATTGAAGTTGTGGTTCTGGGACCAGGCTTTTGGACAGCAGGCATAAATAATAATGAATGAATGAAGAGAGGGGCCATGAAGCCAGTTCCATCTGGTCTCTAATGTCATCAGTTGGGAGCCCCCCCCCCCCCAGCATCAACTGCTGCTCTGAGATCAGAATGAAGAGAGGGGCCAGGAAGGCAGTTCCATCTTGTCTTCTGCACTGTACTTATAATATAATATAATATAATATAATATAATATAATATAATATATTGTATATACATATAATATTGATATTATAATGTAATAAAATATACTACTAATAATAAAATGATATTATAATTATATATTTTATATTAAATTATTATTATTATTATTATTATTATTTTTAACTTTATTTGTACCCCGCTAGCATCTCCCGAAGGACTCGATGCGGCTTACAAAGGCCAAGGCCTCAAAACAACACAACAATACAACACCAAAGCAAATTAAAAACAGTTAAGGCAATAAACAATACACTAAAACACAATAAAATAAAACTGGGCCGGGCCAGAGTAATGGGTACAGGATTAAAAGTGCTGATGTGACAGGTGGTATCTAAGGCATTATAGGGCAAGTGCAGTGTGCAGTGTGCAGCAATCTTAGTTTTAATAAAGTGCTTATGGGACTTGGTATTGGAGATTTCCTATTCTGGGAAGGCACATCGGAACAGCCAGGTCTTCAAGTTCTTTCTAAAGACTGCCAGTGTAGGGGCCTGTCTAAGATCTTTGGGGAGGGTGTTCCAGAGTCAGGGGGCCACCACAGAAAAGGCCCTGTCTCGTGTCCCCACCAAACCCGCTTGCGACGTAGGCGGGATCACAAGCAGGGCCTCTCCAGATGACCGAAGTGAACGTGTGGGTTCGTAGACAGAGATGCGGTCACGCAGGTAGGGTGGTCCCAAACCATTCAGGGCTTTGTAGGTAAGCACCTGCACCTTAAATTGGGCTCGGAAAATAAACAGCAGCCAGTGGAGCTCCTTAAACAGCAGGGTTGACCTCTCTCTGTAAGGGCCCCCAGTTAACATCCTGGCCGCTGCTCGTTGGACCAGTTGGAACTTCCGAGCCATTTTCAAGGGCAGCCCCACGTAGAGCGCATTGCAGTAGTCCAATCTGGAGGTGACCAAGACACAATAAATGTAATATTACTAAGATGGATGGTATCTTTGAACTGACTAGCTTAACCTTGAAGGAGTTGGGGGAGGTGATGGCTGACAGAGAGCTCTGGCATGGGCTGGTCCATGAGGTCACGAAGAGTTGGAAGTGACTGAACGAATAAACAACAACAATATTACTAATAATATTACAGTATAATGTTATAGTACAATGTAATATATAATATTAATATTGTGCTATGATAATAATAATAACATATTGTATTTCCTTTTTACTTGTAAGCTGCTCTGAGTCCCCTTCAGAGTGAGAAGGGCAGCATATAAATGTCATAAATAAATAGCGCTTTGGATATGGAATTCGACTGGAATGGTGATACGGCGGTTAATACTGTTTTTATTGTTGTAATTAATATGCTATTTATTGTTTTAATTGTTGTTATATTGCTTTGTTATATTTAATGGCATCAAATTGTGCCAAATGTAAGCCATCTTGAGTCCCCCTTCGGAGGTTGAGAAAGACGGGGCAGAAATACCGGAAATAAATAAATAACTAAATAAAGACCAGGCATGCACCAACTGAGGTTGAGGAGGAAAAGGAAAGGGCCTGAGGCTGTGAGGAATGGTGGGAGTCGAAGTCCAAAACACCTGGAGGGCCCAAGTTGGCCCAGGCCTGAGTTATGTGGCTGTGAGGGGAATGAAACTTGGTTGTGTTTCTGTTAATGCTTATTTCCTGCTATGATTTTATTTTTATTGTTTTGTATTACTTGTTATTGTTTTAATTATTGATGTATTGTGGCCCCGGCCTCACGTAAGCCGCACAGAGTCCCTTGGGGAGATGGTAGTGGGGTATAAATAAAGTTTTATTATTATTATTATAAAGGAAAGGGCCTGAGACTGTGAGGAATGGTGGGAATTGAAGTCCAAAACACCTGGAGGGGCCGAGTTGGCCCAGGCCTGAATTATGGGGCTGTGGGGGGAAAGGGCCTGAGGCTGTGAGGAATGGTGGGAGTTGAAGTCCAAAACACCTGGAGGGCCAAAGTTGGCCCAAGCCTGAGTGATGCGGCTGAGGGGGAAAAGGGAAGGGCCTGAGACTGTGAGGAATGGTGCGAGTTGAAGTCCAAAACGCCTGGAGGGCCCAAGTTGGTCCATACTCGTATTAGACACTTTTGCCGCAGCACCACAGCGCAAGAGCCTTGCATCACACGGAAAAGGCTCCCCATTGGCCACCACCTCAGGGAAAGAAGGCAAACAAGCCCCTCCCGGCGCGATGGATTGGCGTCACGGCAAGCCAACCGAAGCGCGCGACCAATAGGACCTGCGTAGGAAGGAAAAGGGGGCGGGGCCTGCGGTCACGTGAGGCCGTCCCCCGCCGATGTGGTCAGCGGCTGCGAGGGGGAGCGTCACGTGACTCTGCTGCCTACGCGCGCTGGGGCCGGGTGCAGATGGCGGACGCCGAGGCTGACGCGGCCCTGCGGCCGGAGACGCAGCGCTTGGCCGCGGGCCTCCGTTCCCGGCTGGGGCAACTGCAGGCCGAGCTAGGAGAGCGGCGAGCGGACGGGGCCTCCTCCTCCTCCTCGGAGGCTTACTGCCGGGAGTTCTGCCAGGTGAGGAAAGAAGGAAGGAAGAGAGGGAGGGAGGGAGGGAGGGGAAGCTGGGCCGCGGCGGAGGCGCTTCCGGGCGGGCGGCTGGCTGCGTGTGGCGCGTTTCGGCGAGGCCTAGCAGGCGCCTTAATTCGGACGGGGACGGCCCCTCGGCCCCGCCTCCTCGGCACCAAGCAACGGCCTTTCGCTGAGGAGGCGGGGCCGAGGGGCTGTCGCCGCGCCAGTCCGCCTCTGTCCCCATCGAAGCTTGTGTTGTTGTTGGGCCACCAATCCATGCCCTGCCTCGAGTTGCTGTCTCTTCCTCGATGCCTTCGTCCGTTGGGAAGGCTTTGTGAAAAAACACCTTGTCTCCTTGATTATGTTGTGTAGTTCTTTTGTGTCGTTCTTTTGTGAAGCAGCATTTTGTCGGCAACGCTGCTTCCTTAACTGTGGCGACACTTTGAAGTTTTCTGACCGCCACCTAGTGGCTGATGTAGAGTTTTACACCCTTCTGTTTGGACTTTGTGGTGCTTTGTTTTGGGGGGAGTTTGTGTGTGTCAGGAGCGACTTGAGAAACTGTAAGACGCATATGGTATGAGAGAATTGCAGTCTGCAAGGATGTTGGTACTTGAGAAACTGCAAGTTGCTTCTGGTGTGAGGGAATTTATTATTTACAGTATTTATTTAGGGGACTCAGGGTGGATTACAATGTACAAATTACTACAGCAAAACAGCAGAGAGGAAACAACCAGGCACATCTTAACACCTCTCAACAGAACATTTTCCCAGGCTCAGCCAAGCCTTCAAATGCTAATGAAGGCTGAAACATTCACACCTAGCTTCAGCAGAGAGCTCTTTGCCCCACCCCAGTCATTCCACAGATATATAAAACCATTTTCCTATTTCCAACAGACCTCACTACCTCTGAGGATGCTTGCCATAGATGCAGGCGAAACGTCAGGAGAAATGCCTCTAGAACATGGCCCTATAGCCCGAAAAAACCTACAAGAACCTAGTGATTCCAGCCATGAAAGCCTTCGACAATACATACAAATTACCTGTCCGAACACATATCTCCCTATGAACCATGCAAGCTTTTGTCACTTTGTTTACTATACATGTAATTCGCGGAGATTAAGATCCTCCGGGGAGGCCCTGCTTTCCGTCCCACCATTGTCACAGGCACGATTGGTGGGGACGAGACAGGGCCTTCTTGGTGATTGCTATGGAACTCCCTTCCTGGTGAGATCAGGTCAGCCCCCTTTCTCCTGTCCTTTAGAAGGATGGTTCAAACTTGGCTGTGGGACCAAGCTTTCAGGACAGGGCAATAAATTACCAGGCCAATTAGATTTGACATGGATGAACTAGGACGGTTTTAAATGGTGTATTTTAATATTTTGGTAAATGTTTTTAATGTTTATGTATGTATATAAGAATTTGTGTCCCGGCATTGAATGTTTGCCATATATATGCTGGTCTCCGCCCTGAGTCCCCTTCGGGGTGAGAAGGGCAGAATATAAATGTTTCAAATAAATAAATAAATAAAATACATGGCAAACATTCAATGCCATAGGCATACAACATCTATAGACAGACACACAGAGGCCACTAATATTCCAGCTTCATGAGGGTATTCTGGCCACCAGCGAGCTGTCGCTTCACGTGCATTTGTGACACTGATGGAGCACTTCCTCATTCTTTGCATGCGTGCTGGAGATTTTTATGGTGTCCTAAATTAGTTAAATTAGCCTCCCTGCATAAGCGGTACCTAAATTGGCAGATGCAACTGTCTTTCGGGCTGCAAAGGTTGACAACGAGCTACGCAATGGTCAGAAGCTCACTCCAACCTGGGCTGGCTTCGAACTCATGACCTTTCAGTCAGTAGTGATCTAATGCAGCTGACTCCTAGCCAGCTGCGCCAGTCTAGGTGCTGTTGCAAGGATGAATTGGCTGTCTGTAAGGATGTTGGGACTTGAGAAACTGCAGGTCGCTTCTGGTGTGAGAATTGGCAGTCTGCAAGGATGTTGGGACTTGAGAAACTGCAGGTCGCTTCCAGTGTGAGAGAATTGGCTGTCTGCAAGGATGTTGGGACTTGAGAAACTACAAGTTGTTTCTGGTGTGAGAGAATTGGCTGTCTGCAAGGATGTTGGGACTTCAGAAACTGCAAGTCGCTTCCGGTGTGAGAGAATTGGCTGTCTGCAAGGATGTTGGGACTTGAGGAACTGCAAGCCACTTCTGGTGTGAGAGAATTGGCTGTCTGCAAGGATGTTGGGACTTGAGGAACTGCAAGTCGCTTCTGGTGTGAGAGAATTGGCCATCTACAAGGATGTTTATTTATTTCGAACATTTATATCCCATCCGTCTCAGTCTCCGAGGGGGGACTCAGGGTGGCTTACAGCTGGCAATAATTAAATGCCAATAAATAAACATTCACAGTACAGACAGTTAACATTAAGTAAACCAACAAGATTATAAAAATACATTAAAATATTGACTATTAAAGTATTAAAACTGAACCAAGCCTAAGTCCCCCAATCCAAATTGTAATCCAGAGTTCCGGTCCAGGGTCTATTCATTGACAGTTCTCATAAGTCATTGCACTTGTTGCTCGAATGCTTGGCCCCAAAGCCAAGATTTAAGCATTTTTCTAAAGGAGAGGAGAGAAGGAGTCGGCCTGATTTCAATGGGGAGTGCGTTCCATAGACGGAGGGGCCACCACCGAGAAGGCCCTGTCTCTTGTCCCCACTAATCATGCTTGTGAGTGTGGCGGGATTGAGAGCAGGCCTCCCCTGATGATTGTAAACTCCGAGGTGGGAGGGAGATACGTTGGGACTTGAGAAACTCCAGGTCACTCTGGTGTGAGAGAATAGGCTGCAAGGAAATTGCCTAGGGATGTTTTCACATTTTACCATCCTTGTTGGGAGGCTTCTCTCATTTCCCCGCATGGGGAGCCAGCGCTGACAGAGGGAGCTCAACCCGCTCTCCCTGGATTTGATCTGCTTTATGCCATTGCACTATGCAGACTGTTTTGTTGCTTTGTTGTTCTTATTGGTTTTGTAACTGCACAGTGACAGGAAGGTGCTCCAAAGGGTCACTGCTGCTGCACAGAGAATCATTAGTTTCCCTTTCCTCTCTTTGGAAGAACTTTGTAAGTCCCACAGCCTTAAGAAGGCTCAGAGCATTGTTAAGGACCCATCTCACCTGTCATAGTCTTATTTTTTAAATTATTAACATCTGGCAGATGATACAGGATGACAGAGACAAGAACAAACAGGTTAAGATCTTCTGGGGATGCCCTGCTCTCGGTCCCACCTCTGTCACAAGTTCAGTTGATGGGGACAACTGACAAGGGCTTCTAAGTGGTGGCTCCTTGGCCCTCTCACCAGAGAGATTAGATCAGCACCCCCCCCCCCCGACCTTAAGAAAGAAAACAAAAAAATGGTTGTGATATCGAACTTTTGGGCAGTAAAATAATTCAGTGCAAAGAATAATTAGGAAATATGTGCAGTGACAATCTGAATGGCTACAGTGTATGATTTTTGGATCATGTAATTTTAATATTTATACTAGGATGTTTTTAATGCTTTGTTTTAATGTTTAAATGTTGTTTATGTCTTACGTTTAATAGTTTTAATGATTTTAATTTGTAGTGATATGTTAGTGTTTAGTTATTACATTTTTTTTCTATATGTATATGGCATTGAAATTTTGCCATTAATGTGTTGTTTATTTATCGTATCAGAAGCGAAACAAGGGTACAGTTGTGATGTATTTTAAAAATACAGACTTTTAAAAACTTGGCGTGATACTAAATGTCCTTTGACCAGTAGCTGTCCACTTGGAGTGCCTCTGGTGTTGCTATAAGAAGGTCCTCCATTGTGCATGTGGCAGGGCTCTGACTGCATTGTAATAGGTAGTCTGTGGTTTGCTCTTCTCCACACTCACATTTCATGGCCTTCACTTTGTGGCTCCATTTCTTAAGGTTGGCTCTGCATCTCGTGGTGCCAGAGCACAGTCTGTTCAGCACCGTCCAAGTCGCCCAGTCTTCTGTGCACTCGGGGGGAGGGGGGGGGAGTCTATCATTTGATATCAGCCATGGCTTGAGGTTTGGGTTTTAGCCTGCCACTTTTGGACTCTCACTTTCTGAGGTGTTCCTGCAAGTATCTCTGTAGATCTTAGAAAACAATTTCTTGCTTTAAGGCATTGGCGTGCTGACTGATATACAAAAAGGGGATGGGCCGGAGATGTCACAGCCTTGGTCCTTTCATTATTGGCTGCTACTTCCTGGCGGATGTCATGTGGTGCAGTACCCGCTAAACAGTATAATTTCTCCAGTGATGTAGGATGTAGACATCCTGTGATAATGCAGCATGTCTCATTAAAAGCCACATCCACTCTTTTAGCACGGTGAGATTCTAAGTGTAACTTCAGCCAAGTGGATAGGATGGGGAAGGTTTAACACCCCGTAATGTTTGTTTTACTATCTGTACCCCTATTCAGAAGATTTTGCCTCACTTCCTGTCTCTGTGATAATTGGATTTTGAAAAATGTGACTTATTGTGGAAACGAGGTTGATGATGGAGCTTCTAGGGGGTACACCTTTCACACCCCTGTTTGTGTAGTAAACAAAGTGATATTCGTAACTCGGGGACTGCCTGTATTTATTTGTATCCCACCTATCTCCCCATAGGGAGTCAAGGTGGCTAACATTAACATGATGCAACCTACTATGATTTAAAACAAGGTAAATACAAATATTTAAAAACAATGAAATACTTGTGCCATAACTACAAAGTTAAAATAATGTTAAAATAAATAAATTGTAGGTAACATCTCATTCAAAGTGAAACATCTAACATAGGGGTTCCCAAACTAAGCCCCATGGGCTGGATGTGGTCCTCCAAGATCATGTACTCGGCCCCCACCTTAAACTTTAGACTGAGGGCCACCCTAAGTCTGAAACGACTTGAAGGCACACAACAACAACAATCCTAATTAACTTGACTGTCTCATCAGCCAAAAGC